TTGAAGTTGTTTGATTAGGGCCACTTCACAGAACGGGGAAGTAGGACGAAATCACCGAATTCGAAGAAGAAAAGTTGTTATCAAATAATCAGACAACCCCCTATAAAATTTAAAACGACCTAACTATCTAAAAGTAACACGTCTGGACAGTCGGAATTAATCGGATTTGAACTTTTAAAAGGAGAAAAAAAAAAAATTGGGCGGCGGGGGGGGCGGGGGTTGGGCTGAAAGTGGTGGGGTTAAAAGGCATTTTTATTCTGGGCAGCCCGGAAAAACGATCCTTTCGCGCAAAAACCCAGAAATCCGTGATTTTAAAAGTTAATTGGAAGTTTTCAATAAGGTAAAAAGGGGGATGACGATCTTTTTCCTGCGTCGCTTTGACTCCTATTTCTCCGCGCGGACTGCGGCTCCCCGAAGCCCTTGAGTCCCTCTCTCCCACCCGAGTTTCCCGCCAATATATATTTCTATATATATAGAAAGAGATGCGGCTCCGAGGCTGAGACGTGTTATGGTTTGCTCACTAACATAAGGAAAAGGCATGCTAAAGTAAATCAAGCGGCACATCTAACTTCTTCCAGAGGAAAATGAAGGTAGATTTCCGCGGCGGAGGAAAAACACGCGCGCTTCGCCTTAAAAGACATAGAGAGAAGGCAAGTTTAGGTGGGAACTGAGGAGGCAGAAGCTAATATAGGGCGCCTTCCTTAGCCGTCCTCTTGTTTCCCTCAGTCGGAATGGTTGATTGATGGATTAACTCTCTTTCCTGTTTTTGATCGGCAGATGGCAGCACTGATATTGGCCGTCACAGAAAGCTAAGTAGTCTCGGCCTAGGCCGTCCCACTAGGACTTTCCAGTTCCAGGCAGGAGAATAAAAGCAGTTCTCGGAGGCAGCAAATCTTTTCTATTTTATGCCAAGACGGTGGCACAGATGTGTCCCTGATGGTCACCAGGAATCATTTGTCTCAAAGGAAATGTTTGTTCTCCACCCTGCGGAAGCACAAAGCAGGTCATTCCTCTCTCTATTTCTTCCCACAATAACCCTGTGAGGTAGGTTGGGCTGAAAGAAATCGACTGGCCCAAAATCACCCAGCAAACCTCTGTGGCCTTGAATCTGGGTCTCCCAAACCTCCCAAATCCTAATTTAACATCTACCCTGGCTCTCCTACTGGTAGAATAGTAATGCAGGCAGGCTGCGTATCACCTCAATGCTAAGGGCATAATGACAGGGCCACACTGTCATAAATCAGTGCTGACAGCAAGCCACTGTGTGTAAACAGAGCAAACCCCGCTCCATTCTAGCACTGATGATGTTACCTAACTGGGTAATGAAATGTCTGCAAAAAAAAACCAACCCAAGGTCAGAGAGCATGGAGGACCCCACAATGGCATAATGTGCCTTCATCCACTGTCCTGGGGGAAACACTGTTTAGAAAAAGGAGTGACACTTTCAGCCAGTTGTGGCCACTCTCGGCCTTTTTGTGATGCAGGGGTACCCGCAGGGTGTGGTGAAAAAAAATCAAGAAAATGGCCTCAAGGATGTAATTCAAGCCCTGTCCATTTTTTAAAGGGCATCCCACGCACCATGAACATTAAAAAAAAATAGAGCTTTGATTACAGCCCTATTGTGATTGTCCTTGAAATCACTAGTCAGCAAAGGGCCACAAGAAGAAGCTAGAGAGATATACAAAGAGTTGTTGTCTCCTCTCTTTACCTGGACATTATTTTTCCAAGAATAAGACTTGGGGAAGGGAAGCAACTGGGTGTTAGGGGTGGGTGATTCTCCTTTGCTAATCTGTTGGGGCTGCAAACTTATTCAGTCAATTAAAAGAATGTTGTTTTTTTTAAAAAGCCACAGAACAGGGGAAAAGCCATGTAGGTGAAAAGCTTCTTATCCTTGAATGAAGCTGGCTGGACAGCATACAGTATATGTTTGGCTGGGTTTTCACCTCACACTAAGCAGGAATATGGTTTGTTTGGTTTGTGTTCCACGTGTTGGGTGAGCCTCTGTGGATTAGGGGTGAGAGTAGGCTCGTGGTGGTTTGGATCAGGTCTTAAAAGTGAGTTTCCAAGGGAGCAGATTTGCTTCGTTAACCACAATAACTGTCTCAGCCAATATGGTAAACACAAACTAGATAAGACACAACTTTTTTCAATGTTGGTAACCTTAAGATGCATGGACTTCAACTTCTATAATTCTGGGAATTGAAGTCCACACATCTTAAAAGTTACTAAGGTTTGAGAAATACAGGCCTAGCACATTAAGAGGAAAAAAAAATGCCGTTTGTGTTGGGAGCAGCCAGCTGTAAAATGAGCCGGATTCCTTCAGATGAAAAGCACTTTTGGCCTGAGATAGGAAGATGACCCATAAAATTCCAAGTCAGTGGTAAGAAACATGTATCTCATCTCCTAAAGAAAGACAAATTCAGTCAGCCTCATGACTTCATTAAGCTTTGCATGGCATGCCAAGGGATGTACTGAGAGTCAGGTGTATTTGTGTGTGTGTGTGTGTGTGGAGGGGTTATGACTAAAATGAAAGAAAACACACCTTTGCACCCTCCAAACAGCAATGCTGAAAAACCTCTCTCCAATAGAAGAGAATTAGCTGTAACTCTGGAGTTCTTGAGGTTCTCTGACCTGGGTTGTTTACCTGCAGACATTTCATTACCAAACTAGGTAAGAAAATCAGTGCAAGTGAGTATAGGTTTTGCTCTCTGTTTATATACAGAAGCTTACTCCCCCATCTCTCCCCAAAAATACCCTGCCAGGGCAAGGAATCTGCAGGAACCACTTTGTATTGTGCCAGAGCAAGAAGTGGGTATTTAGGAAGACCTCTCTGAGAGCAACTGGGTTCCCACCACACCCTGAGTCCCACACCAGCCACCTTTAGGCCAACATGTTGTGTAAATCTCATCCCGTTCAGTATGGCTAGTTGAATGAACTAGAAAATTGGGTAGAGTATATTGACCTGCCTAGCAAACTTCATCTTAATGAACACTTTGAAGTTCTTCTGAATTCTGGTACAGGAATTTCCAAGTTGGCATATAACTTTTAATTCCAAAGAATTTGACTGGCCCAACAGCATGCATTTCCTGACCTGAAGACCCTTCAGTTGTACAGGACTACAACATATCTAGCCTGCTAAAATATAGAAGCCTGGTATATGAGGTAGAGTTTTCTGTTTCTCTTTGCTGCCATCCAGTGGTCATTTGGGTTTTTACAGCCCACTTCTGATAGGCCTAAGCTCTGTCCCACCAAATGAGAAGGCTGCAATTTAGGAAGATTGGAAAAGAGGAAGCTGTGACTCCTGGGTATGTATTACAGTATCAAACCATCTTTGCTGGATGGTATTATTGCCTGCTAGGTGAGCGAACAACTCTGGATGAATTCAGGGATTAAAACCAAATTTTGAGGTTAAATTTCAGGTAAAAGAGAGACAGACATACAGACTGGTTTTGTAAGACACAATAACTGTGGTCAAACCCATATATTCACAGGGCAGTTAAAAATCTAACTGCCCAGAATCATTGAGAGTTATGTGGCATAACTTATATGTTATCATCTTTTAGAAGACGCATTAGCACATGCTTAATTGGTGTTAACTTGCCTATAGATATTCCAGTGGTTTAGGATGGTGGATAAATATGGTTTATTAGACTAGAGTTCAGCATACCTAGGGAATGGGTTAATATAGGAAACGAATTAAGCTTTTCGTGTGAATGCAACTACTGAGCAGAATTGTGTTCAATTGTATTTTAGCTTGTGAAAATCCAACCTTGTGCTTAGTTTAGTGAAAACTTATAAATTTGGATTGGGTGAACCACGATTGATTTAACCACAATAATTGGGTTGTGTGAAAGAAGACTCCAGAGGTTTAAATATAGGCTTACCATAAAGTTACTCTATTGTCCTTCAACCTTTGCTTCCAACTTATCAAATTGGCCTTCCCAACTTGGGTGCCATTTGGATTTGTTTAGGAACAGTTGCCATAATCCTGCTTTGTAAACTGTGGACCGTTCAACGGGTCTAAATAGAGGTGGTTGCCCTAGTAAAATGCATTCCAGAGAAAACCCTTCACTTGTAGAGCTTAACGCATCTGACACGTGTCCAGAGCATCCCTAAATCTTGCAGAGACCCTTACAGCTCCCAAGTTTAGGAGATATTTTAGGAGAAGTTTAGGAGATGGTTTAGGAGATGGGGGTTTAAGTAAATCGGCGGAGAGAATTGCAGAACCAACCATGTTCCTTTGGATTTTTGAGCCTCTCCCTGGGCTGCATTGGTGGGGACGGACTGACGGAGGTGGGAAAGAAATAGGAAGAAGACCTCTTTTATTTTTGCAAGCAATCAAAACCACTCCAGGAGTCTTTCAGGAGAAGAAGAATAGGCCAAACTCGTGGGCAGGGCTCTTAATTTTTTCCTTCCCTACTTTTCAAAACTATAGAAGACCCCCTCCAAAGAGGTTTTGGTCTGTATGGGTTATTGTTTATCGATATTTACTGTATTAAAAATGGAAACTGACACATTGCCTGCCGCTACCTTTTCTCAAGATTTTAATACTGTATTATTTGGCAACATAGGCTGGCAAATGACTTTGGTTTCGCCGCCCCCTAAGCGGGTCCATGGGGACTTTCTCCAAGAATCCTAGGAATAATACATTTTAAGGCAGGGGTCTCCAACCTTGGCGACTTTAAGCCTGGCGGACTTGCTGGCTGGGGAATTCTGGGAGTTGAAGTCCTCCAGGCTTAAAGTCGCCAAGGTTGGAGAGCCCTGCTTTAAGGAACCCTGCCGTGCCGTGCATCCCATCGCACCCCAACCGGCGTTCCCTGCCAGGCAGCCGTTCCGTCGGGGGCTGTGGATTGACGCCGCGGGACAGAAGAAACTCCAGGGGGTGGGCGGGGCCTGTGGGCGTGGCCAGCTCCCTCGCCGGCCTCCTCATTGGTTGGACTCGAGGCCCGGGGCAGGAAGCGGCGCTGCCCAGCGGAGCTCCCAGATTGAGACTTGTCTTGCGGGAGGCGGTTCGCCCTGCTTCGCGGGTGGGGTGGGAAAAAAAAAAAAAAAGGCAGCGGCGGGTCCCGGGGCAGAGAAAGAAGGGCCGGGGCGGAAAGGCGGCTCCTGCCTCTGCCCGGACCAGCCATGCAATACCAGCCGTCGGGCTCTGCCTCTCTGCCCGCTTTGTACGCGCCCACCCCGATGCTGCAGCCGGTGCACCCCACGCCCTTTTACATCGAAGACATCCTGGGCAGGGGGGTGCCGGGCCCGCCGCCTCCCCCGACTTTGCCGTCGCCCAATTCCTCCTTCACCAGCCTGGTGGCTTCCTACCGGACTCCCATCTACGAGCCGACGCCGATCCACCCGGCCTTCTCCCACCCGCTGGCTGCGGCCACCTACGGGAGCGGGCCCTACGGCCCTGCGGCCGGGCCGCCGCTCTACCCGTTTCCCCGCGCTGTCGGCGATTACCCGCACACGCTCCTCCGACACGACCCCCTGGGTAAGTCTCGCGGCCCCGGGGAACAGGAGAGGGGTGGGGGGTAACCGCAGCCGCCTGGCCTGCTCCGGGATTAGGGGGAAAGTTGGAGCACCGCTCCCACTCCACACACTTTGGCAGGATCCTCCCACCGGCTCGCCACTGAAGAGATCTCCGCTTGGGAATCGGAGCCGATTTATGGGGCGATTCGCGGAGGGTCTTTTAAGGCTTTTCTAAAGGGGGCCGTAGAAGAAGTCCTCGGGTAGAGTTTTGCTGTGATCTGAGCAGGAGAAAGCAGCAACCCCCAGCCTGTGCCAAACTCCGGAGGAGCCCCGTCGGCTCCAGCGCTTTATCACTTTTTACCGTCCGTATAGGCTGTAATTCCGGACCAATATATCGGGGGGGGGGGGGGGGGGCGACTAATGGGGCATCCCGACTCGCGATTTGCGAGGTCGTCTGAAAGGGGTGCCAACAGTGGAGGAGGGGAGGGGGAGCAGCGGACGGGAATGACCCTCCTTACGGAAACCTGACTTCCAACAAGAGTCCGGTTGGTTGCTGCCATACTGGGAAATTAATCGTGTGCCAGGCTCTGCAGAGATCGCCTTGGCGTTGGCTTGCCCGTGGCTTCAACCGAGGGGATACTACTGCGATCTCTGAAGCTGGAGAACTGTAAGACCAAACACGTAGCGAGACTTTTCAGGAGGTCTGAAAGCGGGTTATCTCGGACTGGGTTTCCTTCCCAGCCCTCCCTTTCTTCCGACGGCTTTCCTTAGAAGTCGGCTTAGTTGAGTGAGTGAATGAGTTGCCGCCGCGCAACTTTCCCTATCTGGGTTTCCTCGGAAGCCAGCGTCATTGTGACGATCAATGAAGCTGCTCGCAAAAGTGGAAGGGGACTCGGGCTCGGCTGTGAGTTGTCGGAGCGGTGGAGAAGAACCGCTTTAGCTTCCTACACACTTTGATCTTCAGGGACCTGTGTTCGTATAATTCATTTTTTCCCCCTGGTATTCCCCCCCCCCCCACATTAGAATGCAATAATGGGGAACCCCTGGACACATCGAAAATGTTCCCAGGGGTGCATTTGATCACTGTTCGTACCTCCAGCAGCAGCAGCTAAAAACAGCCACCAATCAGATCGCTTAATGACGAAATTTATCTTGCACAGGTTTACTAGGAAGGATAGGGGGGGGGGCAAATCATAGCTATAGCCCCCACCCCCACCGCCAATCCTCTATATCTCAACCCCTTTCTTTGAAAAATGAATCGCCTGGCTTTGAAAGGGTGTGTGTTTGTGTGTTTCCACCGTCTTTCCGCCGTTTCCTAACGGCCCATTAAACTATAGGATATTCCTATTTTAGTCTACTTTGGTACAGGATTCCAACTTAGGTTAAGCTGAGAAATCAGTGGGTCGGGCAAGATCAGAAACTTGGCTTAATCGAGAAAGAGGCGTGCTTCTATTATTCGCGGATAAGCGTCTTGTGCGAATTGGTAATGCTATTCAGGGAAAACACGGATGGCTGATGCACTGGGACTACAATGCCCGTGCCTCTTAGGGTTCATAGAAATGGGGACCCCAGAACAATTGGAAAAGCCCAATCCGGGTCGCCGCAGATCGCCGGAGTTATCTTTCGGTCCCTCACCCCGGCCCGGTTCGACCTCGCGTCTTTGGGAATCGCCGGCTTGGCGCAGGGAGTCGGTTCGTGCCGTCTGAGCGAGGTTGGCTGACCCCTTTCCGTTCATACAGGATATCTTGAGCTCTTGATAGGAGCAAATCTGGTTTCAGAAGCTGTAAAGTATTTTCCTGGACGCCCGGAGCTGGCTCGTCTCCGGGAGCCGTGCACGCTGCTGATTATTTTATCGACATCCTCAATACAGACACATTCAGGAAACACTCGGCTTCTGATAGCCCGGATCCGTTTTTCTGATATTGTTCATTTCCTCTGTGTGGGATGGAGCTTTATGACAGCTAAAATAACTCCTTGCTTCCTTTCAAGAAAAGAAAAAAGGCTGTTTGCACCGAAATTGCTGAATGCCTGACGCAAACAACAATGCTGCGTTTTCAAAGGCGTGGAGACAGACAGAAACCCAAAACCGAAGCGGGGGGGAGGGTTGGGGTTGGAGGCGGGGGGCGGGGGGGGGGGG